AAACGAGGGTTTAATAGGAACCGTGGCAACAAAACAATACAACATCAATGACCGGACTGGGGAAACAAACGGAAACGCAGACTAAATACAATGCACTAATGACAACAATCACAAACAGCTGTAAAACACTGGGATTCCACATGAGGTTAACGAGGGGGCGTGGCACATGAGAGGAGCGGACGATCGGGGCATGACAGGACCCCCCCCCCCAAAGGCGCGCACTCCGAGCAGAGCAATGGAGACCGGGGACACGACGGTACCTGAGAAGACAAAACAACAACAACCTCAACGGGACACAGGGAACAGTATGGACACACAGAACTGGCACAAGGTGGACAACTCAAACAATAAGCCACATACCACGGGGAACGCAGACAAACACAAAGACACCAATGACGAAAACATGGGACCCGGGGACATTAAAGGGGACAATGGAGGGACCATACCAGGGGGCACACAGGGGCGAACAGGGGCTGTGGGCACAAATGGACAGGAAGAACACACAGGAGGCACAAAGGAACCGAAAAGGGGCAAAGGCACAGAAGGACGAGGAAAAAACGTGGGGGCCACAAAGGGATTAGAGGACACAGAGGGATGAGGGGGAACCACAGGGGGCACAAAGGGACCAGAAGGGAGCAATGGCACGAAGGGACGAGGAGCAAACATGGAGGGCACAAAGGAACCAGAAGGGAACGACGGTGACACACGACAGGGAATGAACACAGGGGCCAAGGGATCCTAGGGCAGGGGACAACAGGGAGCAGAGGGGACCTATAGTGGACATGATGTAGGGCGCCCTGGGGCAGCAGGCCTCTGCAGGACTGGAACAGGGGCTGAGGGTAGTGAGGATGCAGGTGAGGGGGTTGGTGGAAATGGCAAGGAGGGAGCCAAGGGGAAAGCCGCGGGTGAGGGACTCACAGGTCGTCGAGGGGACAGCGACGGTCGGGCCGTGTTCAGCTGCCCTGGACCCCTGGGTGAGACCGGGGCCACCCGCCGAGATGGAACCTGGGGGTGTGAAGGGGCACCAGGGAGTCTACCCCGCCTTCGATGTCCCCTCCCTTTCCGGGAGACCGAGAAGCGGGGACCCGGCCGTGAACCACCTCGAAGAGGTGCAGGTGGTTGGGGTGACCCCCTGGGGGGGTCCACAGGCAGGGTCAGGGTGATCCCCGAGGGGTCCCACTCCAGCTCCTCCTCCAACTCCATTGTGGAGGAAGGAGCGGGGTTTAGGTTGTCAGGGACCACCTTGGGGACTGAGGCTGAGGGAGCAGGGATCGGGAAGACTGAGGCCGAGGGAGCAGGGACCGGGGAGACTGAGGTCGCATGGGGCGACGCATCGGCCTCCAGGGCCAGGACGTCTGGACCTTCCTGGGTAAGCACGCCGGCCGTCGGGGTCGGGGAGTCTGGAGCCGACGGGTGTGGTGCGGGCGGAGCCAGGGCCGGGATGTCGGGCAGAGCCAGCTCGTCAGAAGGGGGCGCCAGAGCAGGAGCCACGGGTGAGTGGGCCTTGGGCGCCCGAGCAGGAGCCGCGGGGGACACTGGAGCCTCGGGGGGCGCTGCAGGCGCCACAGGCTCCAGGTCAACAGGGGGCACTGCTGCAGCCGGAGACACAGGGGGCAGAGCCGCCGAAGCAGGAGGCACAGGAACAGGGGTGAAAGCAGGGATCTGCGGGGGCGCTGCAGGTGCCACAGGCTCCGGGCCAACAGGGGACGCTGCAGGCACCTCGGGGAACGCCGCAGGAGCAACAGGAGCCTCTGGTGCCGCCGCAGATACGTGGCCAGCAGGGGCCAGTACGGGGCCCTCCGGGACCGCTGGGGGCTGAGCAGGGGCTGCGGGCACCGTAGCCGCAGCAGCAGCAGGGGACCCAGCGGGGAGCACTGGAGTCACGGGGAACTGAGGGGGCTGCACAGGAGTCTCGGGGATCTGAGCGGGGAGCTGCGCTGGGGCCGGCGCCGGAGCCGCGGGGAGCTGCGCTGGGGCCGGCGCCGGAGCCGCGGGGAGCTGCGCTGGGGCCGGCGCCGGAGCCGCGGGGAGCTGCGCTGGGAGCAGCACAAGGGACTGTGGAGCAGCAGCAGCCTCCAGGCCAGCAGGGGACGTCGCGGCAACAGCAGCAGGGGCCGGAGCTAGGAGCTCAGGCACTAGAGTCGTGGGGAGCACTGGAGTCACGGGGAGCTGAGGGGGCTGCACAGGGGACTGGGCAGGGGAGACAGGGATCAGGTCCTCAGGCGAGGCGGCAGGCGGTGTAGCTGGAGCCGTGGGCGTAGCGCCCTGGACGGGCGCGCCAGGCGGGACAGGCAGAGCGGCTCCATCAGCAGGGGGCGCCACAGGCAGAGCGGCGGCATCAGGCAGGGCCGCGGGAGTCACTGGGGGCGCCTCAGCAGGCGCGGGAGTCGCAGGGGGCGCCTCGGACGTGCGGCCAGCAGGGGGCGCCTCGGACGTGCGGCCAGCAGGGGGCGCCTCGGACGTGCGGCCAGCAGGGGGCGCCTCGGACGTGCGGCCAGCAGGGGGCGCCGCAGGCAGAGCGG